CCTAACCACTCGGCTACACGGCCACGAGTACCCTTGAGTCACAAGGCATAAGTGAATTTCAAGGAAGGTCAGGCCTCTTTGCTATATCATATTCTTTTGGTGGGAGTGCCGATGTAGGCAAACGTATGTTTGCTATAGCAATCGACTACATTACTTATATTCGTATGATAGTAGGGTTCCTGCAAAAATACATCTTATTACACTGATTTAGTGGTAGTCTCGAAACCCTACTATCATATGTATGATTGCATTTTTTTCTGTCCAACTTCCATTAAATCGAATGTTTCACTTTGCAACGATAAATTCACTTTACATCCTATCTCAGAATTTCCTTATCATCCATGCTTCATGCATTTAATGGATGATAAATTAGCCACTTCGAACTGTTAAGGCAACACCTTTATTGGTTGATGTTCTAACAAATGTACTGTTATCACATGAGTCTTCTACATCAATCCTCGCCATCTTAACTCGGCGTTTAGCTCTCAACAATTGTTTTTGATGCACCACTTGACATCACCTCCAATCCCTCCTTCTAAAGCTTAAGGTGATGAGTATGTCACATCAAAATAGACGAGACCTTACACTTGACTGTTGGTAGGATTGCATCTCGGCCATGTATTGTCACATTTGCCTTTGTTCGGCATGGCTAGTGGTAATGGTCGTTGCCGGCCTGCAGAGTTTGCATATATTTGTGTGTGTGTGTGTGTATTGACAGCCGATTTGCTGGTTTCGTTGCTATAGTTGCATCAGTTACCGGTACGTCGTGGCTCAGGCCTGCAAGTCAAATGGGAATAGCCCATCCCTTTGGTTGCTAGGTTGGACCTAGGTGGGTTCAGCTGGATTCGACGAAGTGGCTTCTCTTGCCATAGTAGCCATACCATCTACATACCACTCTCTGCAGGCGTTCTTGGTTTGTCCGACCAGCTGTCTGTTCTTTTCCCCTGTCCTGCGTGCCGGCAACTGGGCTCACTTTCCAGCTCATGCACGCCTCCTCGCCTCTCGAGGCTGCGTCGTGGACGCTGTTGCCATCCTTCGTCGTCGTCGTGTCCATTCTGCAATGTCTTGCCGCAGCCCAACTTTGTAGGCGAGTGTGTCCACGCACAATCCGTCATTGTACACATGACTGTGTTCACGCCGCGTTTTGAAGCGGCAGCAGACACCAAGACAGACGGCAGAGAGAAGCGGATGTGTGGTGGGCTGGCCCACCGGGGCTGGGGGCGGGACATGAGTGATCCCAGCTCTTCTATGATTTCAGCCCAGCCCAGCCCAGCCCAGCCCAGCCCACGGCCGGGCATGGGGTGCGCCCGGGTGGACAGTGGGTTGGAAGAGGATGTTGAGTGGGTGGTTGGACGGGCAGATGGGGCACTGGAATTGATCCATCGGCAAACTGGACACAAATGACAGGCGGACAGGTCCAAGTGCTTAAGTGGCCGCTTGCGCATGCTCTGTCCCGCAGGATGGATTCAACCTGGCATTCGTCCACTCGTCCACTCGTCCACTTTCCCACTTTCCCACTTTCCCACTCGTCCACTCTCCTCTCTTTCCCGCCTTTTCTCAGCGCCCCTTCTTCACCCTTCCACCTTCCACATTCACCCTCCCTCGTCGCTCACATCTCTCCTCCTTCAGTTCTCAGCCCTGCAATGGCTCCTCCACAGGCCTGTGTCCACTCCATCCGCCTATCAATCAATCGTTCAAGGGTTTCGACTCAGTCGCTTGTCTGCATGGCCTACTCATCACACAACTCACTCAGACCATCACACACCCTCCCACTCTCACTTACAGGCACAAACACATACACGTCCTTGCAAACACTTGCCCATCCATCCGTTCGCATTTATGCAACCATAACAACACACACACACACACACACGCACAGACAGACACACAAGACTGCATTTGCCGGCCACATCAGTCCCCCACCAGATGAGTGTTGTGTGCGTATCCACGTCGAAACGGCCTTGTTTGCTCGGCATTCAGGCTTATCCCGAATCTGTCACGAATGGGAAAAGTGTCCATCCCTCGCCGGCTTGCCTCTGCCTCTCTCAGCTTTCTTTCGCCTCATTCTCATTGCCCTTTCGACCCTTCACTTTCTCCATTATCTCAAGTCACATTCTTTTCCCATCTCATCCACCTGCTCTCTCGCTCGGCCTTCATCTCGAGTTGACATTAGTCCTTTCCTTTCCTATTTATCCCCAATTCTCTCGCCTTTCCATCACCCCATTTGGGCACGCACGAGCATGCACACACCTCCAAACACACGCCTCTTAGACTAATTTCTCTATTTTCTCCTCTCCTTCTTGCCTCTGCTACTTGAACTTATTTGCCTTCAATGATGGTGGACGCACTCATTTGTGCACAGTCTTCAAGTCCCTTCGTGTCCGCTTGCCTCCATGCCACTCGAGCAAACATGAGAAACGTGGCTCTCGTCTGAAGCTGGTACCCACTTCCACTCTCCCGCCATGTCCATTTTCCACACCCCCACCAACATCATCCCACCCTCTCCTCTTGACTGGCTCGGGCGGCGCAGTCTGGTAATCACGACTGTCTGCGTTTGCCTCATTCCTGCTGCGATGTTTTCCCTTTGGGCTTTATTTGTATGTTTGCATTTGCGTGCTTGTCTTGTATGTGCTGTCTGTGCTTGTCGGCTGTGATCTTTGGAGACGATCCTTTCCCACTATTTGCTTGAGCTGCTCGGGCAAGCCGACGGCTACCTTGGTCGACGAACTCACCTCTTCAAACCGCAACAACGACTAGTAGTGTTTTGGAGCACATTTCAACAAATATTTACCTCACTATTCATCATTTTACTCTGGATCTTTCTATTTCACATTAGAATTGTATCATTTCCATAGAAGTGGGCCATACCCTCAAGAGTGCATATGACTCTTGTGATCTTTCGTTTTGACAGCCATCCTTTTGGCATTGTTAATTCCACTTGATGCGTTTTATGAAGTGGAAACGATTTTAACGTATCGTCGTTGTTGGCTCGACATTTGAGAGCTTGGTGTAAGACAATTATAACTTTCTTAGATACGAATTTCGATTTACATTTAGTCTCTTTTTTGAATAAATTGCTCTTAGCAGTGAATGCTGTTTAGTTTTAAATTCTAGCTGATTGAACACTATCGAGATGATCCGTCTGTCATAGCAACATTTAATACACCTTAAACAGCCTGCTTTCTTGATTAGTATTATTCAATCCCAAGTAAATGTCTGATTTTGTTTGCATATAATATGCCCTTTATCCAAATATGGATCTGCCATTTTGTGTTATTCCTTGCCAAATTTAGCTTGTGACTTATTTACCAAGCTCAAATTATTCTTCAAGAAATTCGACAGACTCCTCGTTTTTTTATTCTGATACTATTTCATTAATAGCGACTAATTTTTATTTCGT